AATACCAAACATAAACAACTTATCTGTCTTTGCTATGGGTAGCCTGCTCGCATACGTATTAAATTTTGATGCATAGAAAGATAGATAATTGGGGGGGGGGGGGGGGGGGGGGGGGGGGGGGGGGGCAGGAGCTCCTCTGTTCTGCATCATTTACTTCTTTTGAATTTGATTGTTTTTACGGTCTGCGAACATGAATATATGAATATGAGCCCCCCCAGATCTTCCTACAACCATGGCAATACGTATCCGAGCAGGCTACAAAGTAGTTTATGTTTCGTATTGTATTCTATTCTTTTTGAGGGGGATGGGAGGGGGTGATTTCCTGCAAGGCTATTCTGAACAAAAGAAAATGCCTGCACTAACAAACTGGGGGGGAAAATATCCTGCCCCAGTATTTGGTGGGGGAAAAAATGTTGCAAAATAACATGGTTGCAGGGATCGATTTGACCAGTCCCAGAAGATCAGCTGGTTTGATTTTCGGAGACTATAGTGTAAGGTTAATTTCTTGTTGGAAAACTCCTGAAAATGCTGGAAATAGCTTATCTGAGCGTCACAAAATCCACAATTTTCTGGGGGGGGGGGCATGCCCCCAGACCCCTCTAGAGGCTTGCACCTTCGGTGGTCGACTCGGTTGTCTCAGAATCCTAGTTAATATTGGCCTGATCTGCTGCCCTATGGCGTATACTTATTAGTTAAACCATGCATATATATATATATATATATATGCTGGTAGCTGCAGTGATACAGACTTGCCGACTGGAACTTCTCCAGGTCCCCGCTAAATATGTCCCCTCCAGTTACACATCCGTAAAGAGGCCCTGAACCAAATCTTATACCTCATAGCAATATGTATTATTAAAAGCAATGCATGAAGCTAGAAAACGCAACGTTAACTATTATTAATTAAAGAATCTAAATAGTATAAGCTATTGAAAAAAAAAATGCTGCGAAAGAGAGAGTGGCAAAAAATATCGTACATGGTGATGGGATAGGGGAAAAAAATCCTGCACATAACGATCCCATATCAAGAAAAAAATTCCCTTCCAGCAGTAAATCTCCAACCCCTCCCCCCCCCTCAAAAGTTAAATGGTCGGCCCCTTACTGGGGTTTCTTGAGATTTCACTCCAGTTATAAAGTGAGGTCATCGGCGAAGGTAAAGTATTTCAATTTCCGAAAATCAAAAGTAATTCAGGTGCAAAACGTTATATTCTTGACTTGAAACCAATCTCCTCCTGGTACACACCATGGTATATTTATTCTGTGATAAAATATTCTTTTGTGGCCATGCCACCTGACATGGCGGGTGACGTGCAAGCCAAGAATAGAGAAAATGTAAAAATCATGTCCAGTCCAGTCCAACTGTCCAGTCCAGTCCAACTGTCCAGTCCATACTAGTCCAGTTCAGTCCAGTCCAGCCCAGTCCATGTTTTGTACTATGCCCTAATTTGCATATATATGTCAGCAATATGCAAATTAGGTAAAGGCATTAATTAAGCATGCGAAAAAATGAATAGTTACCATTGAAAAAAATGAATAGTTAAATTGTCTGAAATTTTTACAGTAATTAAAAACCTAACAAATTTTCCATCTATCAACTCGAAATATGATTAAAACTTTTAAATTTCGTGCGCAAGCCATTTTATTTTTTTTCTGTGTTGGTGTTGTGTATTCATATTCACCTGAGCACACAACACCAACACAGAAAAATAATCATATTACTAGATTACATTGGTATCGAAGGAACTAGATTCTGTTCCGAAATATCACTCGAACCGTCCTAACCGCGTAGCTCAGTTGGCAGAACATTGGGCTAGTATTCCAAAGGTCGTAAGTTCGATTCCCACCGTGGCCGGGCATATTTTTCAAGCTCGCCCGGTGTGGATATACACTCAGAGTAACATCGCAAACTTTATTTTTATTTTGTTGGAAAAGACCCCCCCCCCCTAGATCACAAAATTTGAGTTCGAGAAATTTTTCCCATTATTCTACATTATAAGTACCCAAGGGAGCTATATACATCAAAAACTGGATACTAATAGCTGTTTTTCGAAATTAATTTCAAATATGTTCAGTTTTTTTTATACACCCTGCAGAAGTAGATCTTTTCGGTAGAATGAAAAATGCAACTACGTAAGGCCACCTAAATTCCCGACGAAGGACTTATAAAATAATAAGTGATGTTTATTGAAACTCTCTTGCAGTATATTTACACTGAATTAACGAGTCCAAAGTATTACTAAAACTATATTTACATGAATACATACAACTGTTAAAACTATGTATAAACATTAAAAATATTTAAAGGTAAAAAAATGTTCAGATCTTAAAGTTCTGCATTTGGTTGTGTTCTTAAATAAAATAGTATTGTCTTGCCCATTTCGTAGGCTATACCTGCATTCGCTCATCTTATGTTTTGGGAGCATAAAATGCAGGGGATGATCCTCCTTCTTCATTTTAGTCATATATTTTTTACATAACAGTTCTCGTCTGCTCTCCAATGTTGGTATCTGTGCCATCATCATCGCCTCATTATAATTGTCTATGGAAGGGAAGATGATTCGAAGTGCCCTTGTCTGTATTGATTCTATCCTTTCACTTAAGTATATAGTCAGGGATCGCTTGCCATATTGGAACAGCATATTCCAATACGGGTCTGATAGTAGTTAGATACATTTTTAGTATATTCCTTTGCTCAATGCCAGCTCTACGAAGTACGCGGAGGGAATATAGCTTCTTACAAGCTTTTTTGTAGATATAATCAACATGTTTATTCCACTTGAGATCCTCACTCAATTGAACTCCAAGTAATTTATAATTGGTTACCCTTTCTACTACGTTGCTGCCTATTACAAAAGGCCTCATTATGGAGTTGTTATTATTCATAAAATTAAGTGCCATCTCCTTGCATTTAAGTGGGTTGAGACTCATGTTATGATTTACAGAGAATTGATGTAATTCATCTACCGTATGGTTCAGATAACTAATTGAGTTCCTGGGAATGATCTCTAGCGCAGCTGTGTCATCGACAAACTTTGTCCTTTGTCGACTTTCGCTCGAACTTCTGCTTGTATTTTTAGGTAGTTGTGTCCCTATCAATCCGAAGCTTCTTATTATCGTCACTACCTACACAGGCCATAGATATCTTATATACACTAGATAGTGCATCTAATTATTCTGCAATTAAAAAATTGAAGCCGTGATTGCAGTCTCAGGTCGTTACCATCAAATGAGAGAAGATTCGTATATTTCCTATTTCTTAAACAGGGAACTTAAATGTTAAGTTAACCCTATTCCAAATACATTTTTAAAGTATTCAAATGATGAAAGTTATTGTTGTTTTTAAGTGTTTATTAGCGAGTGGGAACGACCAACATGGCCGCCATCTATTCAAATGGGGGTAACCGCTGGAATTTTCTTGGCTTCAGTTTTACTAAAAGAGATGCGCTATCTAGTGTATATAAGATATCTATGACACAGGCACACGCCATTCGCGTGTATTTCTTCCTTGACCATTTGTTTCAGAAAATTAGATCCAAAGCTATCAGAAGAAGATGTTGATAATCTGGTTTCCATGTGTGCCAAGTCAGTTTATTCCGTTGAGATTGAGGAGAAAGGCACTAAATCTGATCAACAGGCTAAGGTAAAAGCAGGGTTTGCATTTAGCTATCGTGTCCATTAGTCACATAGTCACTGATATGAAGTAATCTGTATATCTAACGTTGAGTCAAATCATCTGTTGAAAAATCATCTGGGCGTTCCAACCGCGCTGGGGAAGCGAAACTCAATCGGGCGATCCCAGTGGATCAATGGTTACAGCGCTGGTGCTTTTAACCAGAGGTCATAGGTTCGATTCCTTGTTGGGACGTTGGAATGTTGAATTGACTCCATTTCGAAAAACAACGTTAACCTCTGCACAGCTGACTGCCCTCTTCCCTTGCTGCTTAGATATTTTTCTTTTGTTTTCAACTAAGCACTTATTTCGTATGATCGCTAATTTCTAGAAAGAGAAAAATTCTCCCACAAAGTTATTCGCTGCTGCCTTGGAGGCGATGAATGAGTTACTAAGTGAACTTATTCGAAAAGACCCAACTCCTTTGACACTGGGGAAACTACTGAAGGTTAGTGTTGGTTTTAAATACATTATCGCTCTGCCTGTTGCTATCTTTTCCCTCGAAAGTTTAAAATATTATTTGAATATTCATTACTGAAACAGTGGAACAATCTATTAAAAATACCACTAGTTTGCTATAAACCAACTTTGTACTTTAACTGGATAGTTGTGACAATTCTTATGTTCTTAACTGTCTCCCCATCCCACCCAAATATGCATTAAAAGCTACTTTCTGATGCATAGCCCCCTTCCCCCCTCCCCCCTCTACCCCTTGAAGTCATTGAACCAAGTCCACAAAGACGCGATTTATAAGATATGGACAATGACATATGTAAGCCTGGCAGTCTGCTTTTTCAATACCATTCAATGAAATTGCAATATGCGGGTTCGATTCCGATTATCTCCGTGATCAAGCAACTTTTCAGCTTACATTGTTGTGGAGGCAATTCAATGCGTCATCGAAAATCATTTAACTGAGTTCCAACACCACAATCAACGTGGAAATAATTTTTTTCTATATTTAATTCGATTGGCGATTTTCTTACTCTTCGGTGAATAAAAGTATAATAATGTGGAATTTCGTGACTTTCCTGTGACACGTTCTCATCCAATAAGGTACAAGAAAACATGAACTTTCAGACTTGGTATATAATAACTACCATCGGGAATCCTGCCCGGTCGTAGAGGTGTAATATATAATATATATATATATATATATATATATATATATATATATATATATATATATATATATATATATATATATATATATATATATATATATATATATATATATATATATATATATATATAAAGCTTCAAATTGAAAATAAATTTTATTAAACTTCAAATAAATAAATACATGTTGTAAAGATAAAGATACGTTTCGGGGCACAGCCCCTTCGTCAGAAACGAGATAAGTTCAAATCCATGTCCTTAAATACTTTTGGCCCAATCCTAATTAACATACACTAATAATATATATAGACTTGTATTAATATTCCTCCCTCAAATTTAATCCCAGTGGTACATATGTATTCAATTTTTCAATCCAAAAACTTTCCCTCTCTGTAGGTTTATTAACATCCGTGATATCAATAATCTGTGCTTTAAAATCATTAAGACCCGAATGGCCCTCCTCAAAAAAATGTTCATACAAATGTTGACCACATAAACCTCTTTGGCCCTTAGAAAATCTATTAAGCGAACTCTTGTGGTTATTAAATCTAAGACGAAATGACGTTACCGTATTGCCCACGTATTGTTTATTACATTTTCCGCAAGTAATTAAATAAACCACCCCCTGAGAGTTACAATCAAAGTGATGGTTAATGTGAAACGTGCGCCGTTGTACTGTACTTTGAAAAGTATCCGCTACCACGATGGAATCACAAACCTTGCACTTTTTCCCCCCACATTTAACCATCCCTCTAGCTGCAACCTCAAGCTTATGCAATTTAGCCCGAACAAGATGGTCTTTAAGGTTTTTGGATCTCCTAAAACACACCATAGGTGGCTCTGGCATGACACTTAGGAACTTGCTAGATAAGCCTACAATATTTTGCAATTCCCTAAAAATTCCATAAATTTCCCGCAATGCTGGGTGATAATCTATGATAAAGGTACTCTTATTATTTTCTCTTCTAGTTTGCTCACTTCCCCTTTTAAATAATGCCGACCGATCCAAAAACCTTACCCTCTTAAACTGACTCTCTACAAATTCGCTATTATAGCTTCTTTTAACCAGAAACCCTTTCAATTCCTGAAGCCTACTCTCAATATAACCATTATGCCATCAGATATATAACCATTATGCCATCAGATAAGTCGCGTATTGAGGCTCTTTTGAAGTCTTTTCCATTCATCTTAGGAGCCTACTCATTCGCTTCGAGTGCTTCCACCCATTCATAATGCTTGATTGTTTGTTTTAGTTAGTGGAGAATGAATTTGAAAGTATGAAAGTTAGTGTAAAACTAATTTTACTGAATATTTTTGTATTGATAGTGTCTGTCCAATCCGTGGTTGGCAAACGAAAATGAAGTGACAAGGCAAAGATCGCTGAAATCGGTCTTAAAAATATTACAAACGTACCGAGAAGTTGTCGCTCCAGCTCCTGAGGTATGATATGTTATTAAGGGTGGAGTCACGGCTTAGACAACGTTGACTGTTAATATTACTTCGTCAATGAGCCCATAAGATGGGTCGCTTTTAAGCCATTTAAAACACTCGCAGTCCGTGTTTTATCAGATACATGACACGAGTGTCGCCTCGTGTTTTATATCTGAGTCCAGCTCGTGTTTTGAATACTACTTGCAAACGTGCTGAGATCTTATATATTACCAAAAATGCTAGATGCGCGACCAGGATTCATAATAAAGTTTTTGAAACGTTCTCTGATCGTAAAATTTATTTAAAACACGAGCTTTCGACTGCCAGTCTGCAGTCTTCGACAGGTAAAGTGATCTTATATTACGTTGCTATTCCTTCGCTTCTCGATTGCTCATAAGAAATGCATGTATACCCACATGATATATAGATACTATAGATCCTATACGCGTCTTTCTGTTATACGAGCCTTGTCTTGTTAATATTTATTCTGACTTGTTTCTTTAATCTCATCTCGAGTGAAACGTGGGTATTGGTTTTGCCCGGTTTAACACGATAGCATTTTCTTCGTCTAGGACACTTTCTTCGTTTTGGGCAGTATTTTATCTTATTTTGTTCCGCGGTGTACTGATCCCTGTACAAGTATTCGTCAAGATGCTTTGTCAGCTGTTCAGATAACGTTGTCCATTGCCAGCAAGTTTCAGTCAGGTGGGTAAAGCAGACAGTCTACAGAAATCGTGGTTTTAATAAAGGTTACGAGCTACAAAAGAACAACATTAATGCAGCTGTAAATGTATTATGTCATTTCATTTGATATGTTATTTCAGTTCATTTGATATATGTTTGATATGTTTGATTATTTCAGTTCTTTGTATGACGTCATACGCAAGGTTAAAATTTTAAAGTAATGAAAAATCTTCAGAATTATATTTATTGTTCATTTATAAGGGTTTGATATCATTTACATTCTTTTAAGGGTTTGATGTCAATTGGGGCTTTGCCCTGTTTCTTCTACCTGTTGTCGCTGTAAAGCTGATAACTAAGGGACCGGTCATTATTTATGGCGGGGGGGTGGCACCGAAGAGAAAAAGGTTGGGTAAACAAACTTTTGAGTAAGTAAAAGGTTGGGTAAATGAAAAACAAAACAACTCAAGGGTTGGGTAATAAAAATTTATTGTCATTTCCAAAGCATTACCCACTGAAATATTGGAAACTGAAAAGCAATGTCAACAGTCATTTGTCAATCCTATATATGAATCAATCAGAGTCACTATCTTGATCATAGTTTGACAAAACAAATTGTGTTTCCAAAGAAAGTAGCTACATGTGCAGACAACATGAAACTTTATACTGCAGAAAATTTCACAAGCCGTTATCAAACCCATGTCACTGAAGTAATAAAGGACGTGTATGACATCTGAATGGTATCATTTTGTTAAGTTTTTGGCCAGGGGAGGGTATTTATTTTTTAATTGATATTTGAGGTTGGTTAATCAAATTTTTGTCTTTTATGGTCGGGCCAGCAAGATTTTTGACACGGAAAACATTTCTCTTCGGTGCCACCCCCTGCCATAAATAATGACCGGTCCCTAATTTAATAAATTCAAATTCAATTCAATTGGCTTTGAATGTTCGTAACTATGTTTTGGAACTAGGCAACCAAGGCCTGTATATAGAGGGGCACCAAGGCATATGGCAAAAACATTTGCGAAATATAAGATGAAACGCCTTCCAAATATATTAGCATCTTATAAACTCAAGATGCGAGCTATTTAAAAAAAGACAACAAAATTCCAAATAATATATCAGAATGTTAGTGTTTGTTATCCAAGTGAGTATATATACATTTTAAGACCTAACCAGGAACGACTGCGAAAAATGCAGCACAAGGTCCTCTGGTAGGAATTGAACCTACGGCCTTGCGATTCCGGTGCAGCGCTCTAACCAACTGAGCTACAGAGGCCAGCTGTTGAGCTGTAAACGTAAGTTCATGTATATATATAGGTAATCGGGTGTGCGGGTTGTGATAAGGTGGAAGTGAAGTACAAGAATCCAAATCAAGTAATATATCGACTTTATTTCAAAGGCATTGTCATCGTCAACTATATTTAAACAAACATGAGGAAAAACAAAAGAAATCACTGTCGCTGTAAAGCTGATAACTAATTTAATAAATTAAAATTCAATTGATCACAAAGTATTGATCTTTTCAAGCCATATAAAATTGATCATAACCCTGATTCAAGTTTACCACTAATTAATTAATAATATAGGTGAAAAATATTGCTCAATTCTGATTAGGTAGTAGCCTGCGAACAGGCTCTCAAGGTGAAATGAGAGCCTGCATCGATGACTAATGAATTTGAATATCTGCCCCGTAACGTTCGTTTTTCCAAATATGGA